GCCTTTCTGTTGGTTTCTCCACTTTCGTGTTGGGCATTTTTGATTTTATGAATGATCTTCGTCTACGCCATCTGCTAGATGCTGTGTGTGTAGGTTGTTGATAAGCTCGTTAGTGTGTGTCTAAGTGTGTGCGTGTGTGTGTGTGAGCGTGTGTGTGTGTGCGCGCGTTCGTCACGAGTGTTTATTGTTTGTTATTATTTTCGTGAAATTTTTTGACATATGTAGTATAGAAATGAGTTTCTTCTCAGGTTCAATTCTCGTGAGAGGCACAATGGATCAAGTATGCTTTTGTCTACTATATCGCATTCATTCACGGGCGGTAATATTGAATTTCTAACCACAAATGCATGCACGCACAATGCTTAAATGCACACACACACACACAAATACACACACACACATACAAACGCATACATGCACACACACACACACGCACGTCTATACACACACGCACGTCTATACACACACACACGCACACACAAACACCTATACACACATGCACTAACATGCAGAACGGTTCTTTTTAATCCTGTTCGCCAAGTTTAGCTTCCCAAAGAATTTCGAGCGTCCCCTCTTAACTACCCCCCTCCTATCTCCACCCTTTCCCCGTCTTGAAAAAAATGGCATTCTTCTTCTAAAAGAATTATTTGATGAAATATTCGCTCCGTTTCTATCCGAATATTTTGCCGATACCGATTCAACTGTAACATCACCTGCTCCATCAAACTCGGCAAATTTGAATGACGTTTCAGTCGGTAAATTAATCGGTTTGGGTGCATTTCTGTTGCTCGGTTTTTGTACACATTTCGGTATGCTACTCGGTTTTGTATTTTTTCTGTTTGAATTATTTGCCACAGCCCTCGGTTTGGATTTTTTCATGAAGAATGTCAGAGGAAAATGAAATGGCTTCGGAATGCCATACTCGCCTGTTATACGTTTTGTATGTATGTTTGTTTGTATGTATGTATGTTTGTATGTACGTATGTATGTACGTATGTACATGTCTTAGAAATTGTGACCAACTGGCTGAAATAAAATTATTGGTGAAAAGATATTGACACATCCATGTGTAGCATATCAATAATAAATCATAAAATAATTAAAAAAAAATTTTTTCCACTTAAATATTTAAAATTTTGAAAAAAAAAACAAATAAAATTATTTAGCGTGTTAACTGTTGAAATCGTCAGAAGCTACAAAACACAAACCGGGCATAACTTCGCTGAAGTAAAGAATAAGTACCCACGTAACAATGGTATCAACGGTCATGCCAACCATGCAACTCTGAACGTTGAAACCATTCTCTAGAATCGGATGTTTACCGATGTTTGAAGCCTGGATGCCTACCTCCAGCTCTTCGTATTGTACCATGTATTTCAAGGTGTATACCAGAGGAACTGGATGAACGAGACAGGCCTGGAAAATATTTTTGTTGCTTAGTTAGTTTATTTGTTTCGTCTTGTTTGTTTGTTGTTTGTTGTTTGTCTGTTTGTTTGCTTGTTTGTCTGTCTGTTTGTTTGTTAGAATAAGCCACTGACACCCACACGCCAACCAGCTGCCAAAAATGCAAAAATGAAAATACCAAATTTCAATCTAATCAAATCCACACAACAAAACACTCGCAGCCCAGCACACACCAACCTACCAAAATAAAATTTATACCATTTGACAACGTGTCCTCTGTCCAAGAGAGATTCAGAGCCACCTGATGCAGGAGCAGCATATAGAAGATGGTAAAAAACACAGCCACCGTCGGTTTCGAGAAGAAGACGCTTATCAGCACTCCTTTTGACATCAGATTGAAGAAGAATATGAAGTTGAAGAGCAGAAACAACGACATCGATGAGTGGATGAAGATCTGCTTCGAGGCCTGTAGGTGGAGATTCGTGAAAAAAATTCATCTAATTATTTATTAAAATTATGATTAATTATAATTAATTAAGAAGATTTATTAAGGTTAATTATGATTCATATTAATAACAGGTAGAAATGAGTTAATAATTTTTTGAAATTTAAAAACAAAAAATACAAAAAAAACTGTTTTGAAAATTATCGAATACCGTCAAAAATTCGACTAAAACTTCGTCAAAAACTACCAAACACATAGAAAAATGGACTAAAAAACCGTCCAAAAATACCAAAACCGACTGAAATACCGACCGAATACCGGCCAAAAACCCGATAACGTCACCACCAGCGCCACTACTAACACATAAAATATAACTGACGCCGATGACAGGCAGAGTGTACAAAACGACAAATGTAATTATCCACGAAAGCCAATAGGCCGAATCCATGAGTCCCATCACCTTCATGAAATCTCTCAATTTCAGGTGTTTTTCCGTGACGATGAGTCCTACGATGCGACAGAGGCACATCAGCCAGCAGAAGTATAAGAAGGGCGATACTTTCTTGATGAAAATTTTTTTCCTGTTGTTGGGTATTTGGTTGGTTGGTTGGTTGGTTGGATGGATGGTTGATTGGTTGGTAGGTTGGTTATTTGTTTGGTTGGTTATTTGTTTGGTTGGTTGGTTGGTTGGTTGGATGGATGGTTGATTGGTTGGTAGGTTGGTTATTTGTTTGGTTGGTTATTTGTTTGGTTGGTCGGTTGGTTGAGTGGGCGTTTATTGGTTGGATGTTTGGTTGGCTAACTATCCGGTCAGCCGGACAGCCAGTTAGATAATAATTTAAAATTTTCAACAATTCACGCCATAAAAAATTTAAAACACTTCCAAAAACCACAGCACAGAGAAGAGGCAGCTGGATAATTACACGTTAATATACTGGCAGGGTGTCGGGAACCTCTGGACTATGGTGCCGTAGAAATTTGACGTATTTTGCAAGCGGATGAAAGCCTGTTCTATCAGATCCTGCAACATCACGAAGCCGAAACTTTCATAGCCCGACAAGTCCGGAACATCAATAGGAGCATTCTTTTTTCTGGTTTAATTTAAGTTTACTTTTCATGTGCGTGTGTGTGTGAGAGAGAAAGAGAAAGAAAGAGAGAGAAAGAGAGAGAGAGAAAAAGAGTGAGAGAGAAAGAAATGAGATTATAAGAGTGTTTGTGAGAAAGAAAAAGAGAGAGAGAGAAAGAGAGAAAAAAAGACTGAGAGAGAAAGAGATGAGATTATTTTAAAGATTTTTCCAGAAGCGTTACGTTCTTCATAGCTTCTAATTCAATTTCTAATTATAAGATGAGACCGTAATAGAAGAATTAGGAATTTTCTAATTTAATTTTATTAATTTAAATTTAGAAATATATATATATATATAAAACTTTTTTATTTTCAACGTATCCGTCCTTGGAACATGATCCGGGTGCATCATGATCGTGTAGTTCAGGATTTCTGATCCCTCTTTCCGCAAAACATCAAAAATCAAGCCTGGTAATGAAAGAAGGAAGTAAAAAATGACTGAATGGGTGAATGAATGAATGAATGAAAGAACGAACGAACGAACGAATGAATGAACGAACGAAAAACCAGCAAATGGGACGGCCTTGGCTTCTTTAATTTCTTCATAATTTTCAGGTTCGAAGTGCGTCCTGAAGGTTTCGTAATCGACTTCCTTGAACTCGAGGAACACGCACTAGACGAATTAATATACACACATACAAACATACAAACTGAGACAAACAATCTCACAAACAAATATACAAACTGAGACAAACAAGCACACAAACTTATACAAGCACACACCCAAATCATGCAAAAATGCGAATATAAAACCAATATGAGAAACATTTATTTCTGCACGAATCACACACTCACACACACACACACACACACACACTTTTGTAACGGTAACGAACAGGGCGATGACTTCATTTAGAAACGCCAGCAAGTTTCGGTATCCAATCGGTCCAATGTTGAACATGAATTTCATTAACAATTCTCTATCGAAGTTTTTCGGCTCGTTTAGATGGTAAAAGTACGCTATACCCTAATTTCGGAATCGTATCGTTATCGTATCATTACCGTATCGTATCGTTATTGTATTGTTATCGTATTGTATCATTATCGTGTCGTTATCGTATCGTTATTGTCGTCTATGTATCTTTTTTTGTATTTTAATTCGTATCCATTGTTTTATGAACCGTTGCTATTGCTATCGTGTCTGGCTAATAACGCCAGTATCGTTTTGGTCTCGCTATGTGTCTCATAACAACAACAACAATAATAAATAAAAACAACAACAATAATAATATTATTAATAATAACAATAATAATAAACAACAACAATGATAATAATAATAATAACTTTGACGATCTTCATCAGAAATGATGTATCGATCAGGCCCTCAAGCTTGTTGAGGAGCATGTAGGCCACAGTCAGGTTATGAAAGACATCCTCCAGTTCCTTCATAATTTCTTGCATCTTTTGATAGGGTAGGTTATTATTACTATTATTATCATTATTACTATTATTATCATTATTATCATCCTTATTATTAGTATTATTATTATAATTATTATTATTATTGTCATCATCGGCATTACTATATTTGTATTCGTATTTAAATTTTAGATTAAGGTTGTCGTTGCTGTTATTATTATTATTATTATTAAATTAAATAATTAAATTTCAAATTGGTAATGTCAGTGTTATTATTATTGTTATTATTTTTATTATTATTTTAGATTAATAGAATTTTTTAATTGTTATTATTATTATCATCATTGTTATTATTATTATTGTTATTATTATTAGTTTTATTATTATTATTATTGCCCCATCATCATCATCACCTTGCTGATGACCTCTGCTGCCTTGCTACTGCCACTCTCCCAGAAGACAATCCCCGCCAAAAATCGGTTTCCAATTGCGAACGGATTGAGGAATTGAGCGCAGGCTATCATTCATTTATTCATTTATTCATTTATTCATTTATTCATTTATTCATTTATTCATTTATTCATTTATTCATTTATTCATTTATTCATTTATTCATTTATTCATTTATTCATTTATTCATTTATTCATTTATTCATTTATTCATTTATTCATTTATTCATTTATTCATTTATTCATTTATTCATTTATTCATTTATTCATTTATTCATTTATTCATTTATTCATTCATTCATTCATTCATTTATTCATTCATTCATTCATTCGTTTGTTCGTTCATTCGTTCGTTCGTTTGTTTGTTCATTCATTTATTAGTTCATTCATTCATTTATTCATTCACTTAGTCATTCATTCATTCATTCATTCGTTCACTCATTTATTCGTTATTTAATCATTCGTCCCATTCATTCAACACACACATACGTGCTAATCATAAACTTTCAATTATTCACTCACCCATTCACTAATTCACTCATTCACTCACTCACTCTCTCATTTGTTTACTCATTCACTCACTCACTCATTTACTCATTCATTTACTCACTCACTCACTCATTCCCTTTTGGCAACCTACCCCCAGAGCTGACAATAGTATCATAGAAGTTTTGTAGTAATATCATGCTAATAGGCAACTGGCCTTTGCCACACAATAAGGTCTTTGCTTGAAATCTGTGGTTACTTTTCAATTCAAAATGTGTGTGTGTGTGTGTGTGTGTGTGTGTACGTAGTGTGTGTTTTTAAAAGGTTTTTTTATTTCAATTCTGCTAAATTAGATGGCATCTAGGGTTGTGCCCATTCATCCATCCATACGTAATTACATTCAATCAATCCACTCAATCCATCCATTCATTCATTCATTCATCTATCTATTATTTAATACATCCAAAATAATCACTCCACTAATCTGCCGTTATATTAGTTTCATTCTTTCATTCGAAAAAGGTCACATTCATCTATCAATAAATTCATCTATTCATCATTTCATTCATCCAAAACTTCTATTCCACCCATTGATCTCTCATTTCATTCATCCAAAACTTCTATTCTATCCATCCAGCATTTAATTCATCCAAAACTTATATTTCACCCATCCATCTATAATTTTATTCATCCAAAACTTTTATTCTATCCATCCATTATTTCATTCGTCCAAAACTCTTAATTCATCCATCAATCTATCCATCCATCTCTCCACCCATCATACATAAATCTATCCATCTATCCATCCATCCACCCATCATCCATCGATCTATCCATCCATCCATCATTTCATTCGTCCAAAACTTTTAATCCGTCCATCAATCTATCCATCCATCCATCCATCAATCTATCTATCCATCCATCCATCCATCCATCCATCATTTCATTCCTCCACTCTACCTGGGAAATGACGTATTCTCGAGAAGTGCGCGGAGGAATTTCCGAGTTTCCGGCATTGCGTCGGACATGCGCATCATACTTTCGTACTATTTATTTTTTTTTAATTATGAATAAATTATTCTACCTAATTATAATAATAATTAATAATAATAATAATAATAATGATAATAATAATATACTAGACAGTGTGATATTTGTTGCGTGTGTGTGTTGCGAGTGTGTTTGTGCGTGTGAGTGTGTGTGTGCGTGTGAGTGTGCGTGTGAGTGTGTGTGTGCGTGTGAGTGTGTTTGTAAGTTTTTGAGGCGGCTTTGAGAGAAAGAGAAAAGTGGATTTGGAAGAAAAAAAAGAATACGAATAAATAAAAAAAAAAACAAAAAATTATAGATAAAAAAACAAAAGATTTTTTATAAAAGATAAAAGATTATAAATAAAAGACAAGATAAAAAAGCGAAAGATTGTAAATAAAATAAACAGACCAGATTTCGGTAGGCGTTTATGTCCGGTTCCTTGGCTCCGCATTTGATCAACTAAATTGAATAACAACAACAACAACAACAACAACAACAACAATAATAATAATAATAATAATAATAATGGAATAATAATAATAATAACAACAATAATAATCATCATCATTATAACCGTTATCATCATCATCAGTCCAATAACCAATAAAATCACCATCACATTAATAACTGATAGCTTTACTTTATTCATCATTATAAACGAACATTGTCGTCATCACCATCATCATCATCATCGTCGTCGTCATCATCGTCAACATCATTATCATCATCATAATCATTATCATCATCGCGTATACTTGATCTCCGAAGTTAATCCACAGTGCGTTTGCGAGAAACTCATTCGTCAGATTATTTTGCTAGGATGATGGTGATGATGATGATGATGATGATGATGACGAAGATGATGATGATGGTGGTTGTGATGATGGTGGTTGTGATGACAATGACGATGATGGTGAGGATGGCGATGATGATGATGAGGATGGTTGAGATGATTGTGATGATGATGATGCTAATGAGGACGCTGACGAAGATGGCAGTTACAATTAAATTAATACTGCAACATAAATGAAAAAATTTTGAAAGTGCAAATGATGGTAACCAAACTCTGACACACACA